AAGACTCGGGGGCTTTAACTCCCAAAAATTCCCTTAGCCTCCCCAAAGCCTAAAATCAATAAAAATTGGTAGTAATGAAGAAACTGCTTCAGAACAAGTCTCCTGGTCCTTCCCACAAAATAAAATTCTTGTGCCGCCCTTGAGTCTACCTGGAGATTGTTCAGATCACCGCCCTTGTAGCCCGGTCCCAGACCAGCCCTCCCGGTGGATGGCTTGATTCACTAGGCTGTTGGTGCTAGCCTCACCAAACCCAACGTATGCATCAAAGCCTGGCTGATCAAAGAGATACATGATAATAATATATACATGGAAGATTTTTGAGGGTATGGTACCAAAGCACACATAACAATTTATTGGAGTGAGAGATATGGGAGGAAGTGTGAATAAGACCCAGTGAAAAGCATTGCAGCCAGCCGGAACAAGTATAGAAAGAAGCCTTCAAGAGGACGGTGGACATTACCTCCGCCAGATGCCAGATCAATCAGCATATGATGGCTACGTGAAATAGCGGGCCGCCAATAACAACAATCTAGTCAAGCAGGAAACTGACATGGAAGCCTAGTCAAAGGCAGGAAAACCCCTCGAAACCGATCACAGGTATGTCAGAGGGACAGGTTTTCAGAAGGATGAAGAGCTATCCACCAACACATCCAGATATTCCTTACGCACGCATGTAGTGTTCTCTTACACAGTGACCCCGCGTGTCTGAGTCCTGGACCAAGTGTGTACATAAGCACGGTGATTTCCATGTTTACCAGAGCGGCCGCAGTCGTGTAGGTTTAGCGAGCACAGCAGCGATGCTCTACACTCATGTTCTACTGTGTTGTGTAATTGTTGAGAACGGAGTGGCGGGAAGAGTGAACAGCGTGACGAGAAGATTGAACAGCGTGGCGGGAAGATTGAATAGCGTGACGGAAAGAGTGAACAGCGTGACGAGAAGATTGAACAGCGTGGCGGGAAGATTGAATAGCGTGACGGAAAGAGTGAACAGCGTGGCGAGAAGATTGAACAGCATGGCGGGAAGAGCCAACATATACACCTCTCCAGAATGCTCATAAAACACTGGGAGTCTCTAGCAAAAAGTGTTAGAGCGGCGTATCCCGGCGTCCCGCTGATCACATGTTCAGAGTTCCCACCCGTAACTCCTTACAAGAAATACGTAAAAAAGGGGGGATCCTCGGCGTCACGGAATCTCGCATGAGGACATGTACGCAACATATACGCAGTACTCCTCTATGACATCTCAAGCGTAGTTCGTTATTTCAACACAGACACATAGAGACAGACACGGGGGAGACATCATTACGATGTCACAAATATTTCAAAGCAATCACCTAGTGTGAACTCTGCCAATGAAATCCCCCAGTACTTACCACATCAAAGAAATCCCACCCACAACACTAGCCACGTCAAAGAAATCCCCCAGCCCTTACACATCAATCACCCACAACTTACCACATCAAAGAACCCCTCCCCCACAGCACCAACCACATCAAAGAAATCACCAAACACTAACAACAACAAACACAGCGAATAGTTCCTGATCAGCCGGGTTGTGGTGCACACGTTGGACTACGGGCGGCGGGCACTAACAGCTTGATAGATCGGACCAGCAACCAGGAGGCCTGATCTGAAACCCGGCAGCGGGAGCGGTGACCTCCACGTGAATGATACCTACAGGCCCATGCTACGCTGGTTCAACTCACACCCACCCAAAGTCACTCGATGTACTTATCCATCCCATTTCATTAAAGTTACTCAACGTTCCCGCTTTGGGAACATTGTTAATTCATAACCCTAACCCCTGGCTGCCTTCAAGAGAGAGCTGGACAGATACCTAAAGTCAGTGCCGGATCAGCCGGGCTGTGGCTCGTACGTCGGACTGCGTGTGGCCAGCAGTAACAGCCTAGTTGATCAGGCCCTGATCCATCGGGAGGCCTGGTCATGGACCGGGCCGCGGGGGCGTTGATCCCCGGAATAACCTCCAGGTAACCTCCAGGTAATGTAAAATATGTGAGGAATACGCCCCCTTCCTGTTTAAAAACCTATCGGGAATATACATGTAGTGGGTTATTAAACGGGGGAGGGAGGTATACCTCAAAGGGAAGTATTCCTTAAGATATTCCTCACAAGCGGTGCATGTGTGGTCGTTCTCCCACAGGTGACAGCGGGGAGTGTCATCACCAAGTCCCTGGAAGAGCCCCTGGGGGTGAGCGAGGCGGGGACGGGGGGAGGAGGCGGAAAAAGAAGAGTGAAAGGGAAGGAAAAAGGGAGGAAGATGGTAAAGCAAGGGGAGAAACGAAGAAGTAACGAACAGAAAGATGGAAAGGGGATATGAGGAAGTGGGAAGAGACAGGAAGAAGAGTGAACGGGTGGAGGAAAAGTGACCGAGCAGGGGACATGTAGAGGAAAGATGGGGAATGGTATAAGGTAGAGGAAAAAAAACAATGACGAAGAGAAAGGGTAATGAGCAAAGGATGGGGAAAAGAATGAAGGGAAATGATATTG